GCTGATTTGATAACACAAGTGGAGGCGCCTACGGCTTAACGCCGGGACAGAACGGGAAATGATTTCATGAGAAGCCTTTTCATGGCAGTAATAGTCTTAGTTGGGCCATTGACTGTCGAGTGGTGACCGCTGGTATATAAAGCTTTTTCTAATTCTAGATGCTGCATTGACCATGGATCGAACTCAATCCCTACGGAGTGGTAGTTCGCACCTCTAACCATTCGGCTGCAGCAGTCGTCTAATTATACCACGAACATATGTACATTAGACTGCATCACCAAAAAAAGTTGCGGTTTTTCCTCCAAAAATGGAGTTTTTTATGAATAAAAATAGTTTCGTAAAGAACTTTTTGAAAAAAGTCGCCTCAGATGACAAAACAGATTAAGCTTAAAAAATCTGCATAAAAATGTTTAAAAATCTTTTCAACGGAATCGTAAGAATGAGATTTTTGATGCTGTTTTTTTTTTACTTTTTTTCAAAGATTTATTTACGAAAAACTTGAATAACTGGGCCAAACCTATTCTGATTTAGACTTGTGGGATCTCAGTAGAAAGGTATTTCCACACTGTTTTTATTTCTGTCCAAAAAATAAATTAATTGGTATCCCAAATTTTATTTATTTTTTTCAAATACCAACACATCTTAATTCAACTTTGAATGACGTTCGTTCATCCTACCTTTCTCTTTCATCCCCTGAATGAGTTTATTAGCAAAGAAATAAAAAGGGTGAAAAAGTACCTTTCCACCGACATCTCTTAAGTCTAAATCAGAAGACTTTAGGCTCAGTTATTCAAGTTTTTCTTATACCAATCTTTGAAAAAAGTTAAAAAACAGCATCAAAAATCTCATCATTACGATTCCGTTCAATTCTTTTTTTTAATTCTTTTTAAATATTTTTATGCAAATTGTTTAATTTTAAGAAACTATTTTTATTCATAAAAAACTCCATTTTTGGAGGTATTTTGAAATTGGTCCAGCTCACTTAAATCTTAATATTTTTTCGAAATATTTTGGTAGACGTCTTAAAATATAATAGATTTTATAATTCCAATGGAAAAATAGTACCGATTTTTTTTTTTGTATGGGGAGTGATGCAGTCTAATGTACACACATGTATTCGCAACCTAAATATGGTTAACAGATTTACCCAAAAAAACTGCTTATTAAAATATCAGAGGATAGTATTTTTTAGAAATTCTTAACTTGCGTAGCCGGCATCAAAAACCCGCAACTTTTTATAAAATAAAGTTTAACTTTTAGTTGAGTATGCAAACCTGCAGCAAATATTCATCCAAGCAAAACATTTACAGTATACATTTTTTAGTACATCTACAATGATAACGCGTTGCTTGTCTAATAAATCCAAATACTCTGACAGCAAGCAGAGCTAAAGTAAATGATAAAATAAATCTACAAGCGAAAGTGAAATAAATAAACAGATATAGCCAACGCAACTCACTTAAAGGGGTACGTTATCTATTTAAATATTTTGTGCGGACAGTAGTCCCTTTTTTTGTAGGCTGGAGTGTGTAAAATGTGGGTCCACTTACTTGTGCCAACAGCCAACCAGCCACCCATCCACCCACTTGCTCTTTTATTAAATTAAGTAATTACATTAGTCAAGTAATAAATTTTGTTGTGCCTTCAACTGTGCTTTGCTCTACGTTCTGACTGCTTTCAAAAGACTTTCGAGTTTTCAAACTGTTGACGCGGCAATTTTGTTTATACGCGCCGACATTTACCCAGGCAACTAACTGACCGCGCTGCGATGCGTTGCTTTGTGCCTCCGTGTTTATATGTCTGATATCCGACTGCCTACTGGGCGAACTTTTGCGTTTGCCTTTTTCCACGCAGCCTTTTAAAAACACTTTGTACTTTTATTTTTAATAAAAATAAAATTCATGCTGATTTAATATTTTTATTTGTTTGTTTGCTTTTCTTTTTTGTTTTTGTGTTTTTTTTTTTCTTCAGCTCCATTCGCATTGTGTGTGTACGTTTTATTGCGTTTTGTTACTTTTTATAGCCTCGGCCGCCAGCCGCGTTTTATGCAATATTTATTATTTATTATATTTGCTCACACATAATAAAATTTCTGTGAAAACTCAGTACGCAGCAGCACAAAAACAAAAATGAAAATATACATATGTATGGACATAAATGAACTATCCAACAGCTACACTGAGAAGAGAGTTTAGTTACGTCAACTAAGTATGTTTCTATCAACACATGATTCGGTTATAGTTTCAACATTTATTTTATAGTTACCAAATCAAGTGTTGAAAGAAATATATTTAACTGACTTTTTTCTGAGTGTACGAAAAAAATTCATAAAAAAAAAATGTGTATGTGCCCAAAACATAGATGTTTGTTATTGTTTTTATTTTATTACCTTTCCACCATCAGCATTGTCTGTTCGCATACCCCCCGGCCCTTCATGTCGACCTTTGATAGTTTAAATGAAAAATTCGCAATTTATTTACATGGATTTCGTTTTTCATATATTTTCCGCGCAAAACCGAATTGTACGAAAACCAGCAGCATGTGTGTATAACGGTAGTTTGAAGAGTTACAAACATTCACGATTTTTATTTTTTTGCGCCAATTTTTTTAAGTTAAAAAAAAGCCTCAACAGCTGGCGAATTTGTTTCACATTTTTAAAAGTGTTGTATGGCAATGAAGTGCAATAAAAGTTGTTAAAAACCACCGACTTTTATTGAGGAATTATTGACAAAACAATAAGGCGTTCAACGGAAAAATTCCCCTTTTTCAACATTTTAACATTTATTTATTTATTTCTTATTTAAGTCTAATTACACTGGTGGGAAAATCGCAGGTTTTAAAGTGACAAAAAAAAACTTCGAACACGTAAGTTTAATATTGGGTCATTGTATACCGTTTTTCCAGATCAGGCCATTTTCGCAAGATATTTTCATTTATTATGAAAAATATATTCAAAATTTAGCAAGAAATAAATAACAAAATAACAAATCTTTTGTAATTTTTTTTCCCCTTATTATATAAAAGCTTGCTTTTTTCCAAAAATTCAAGCTACCAACGATGAAAGTCGGTGTTATTTTTCCGTCGTTTTGAATGGAAATGTGCAATAATTTTGTTTATGAAATAGGAGCAGGAAAGAATGTCACTCATACGCCATATCGTACATGACCGTACTCTTTCAGCAAAAATTGAGGACGTTTAATTCAAAAATGCAATTTGTTTTTGGATAACTTTGGATACTCTCACTGCAAATGCAGTTTGAAATTAAAAATTTGGATTCTTATGGCATTTACATAGGTATGCACATATAGTTCGTTTTATTTTCAAAAATGAAGTGTCAGATCACAGGGCCTGTACATACATGTGCAATAAAGTTTTATTTTTTTTTTGAAACGGGTTGCCGCTTGTTACAAATTTTATTAAAATTATTTAATAAGTTAAATAAACTAGATGTTACAATATGGGTAGTGAAATGGTTTTGAAAATGCTTTACTTTTAAACGACTCTCAAAAGGGTTGCCACATATTCAGAAAATCAAATTCACTTTAATTAAGGGAATAAGGTTACTGAAATCTGTATATACCCATGGTTATCAAAAATTAAATTAAAATGAAAAAAATTGACATAATAAGCAAGAAATAGATGAAGAGTAAAAACGTATCAGAGTTAATTTACGAGTCAAAGATTTTAAAAGGAATGTAACACAAATCACTGATTGACAATGTATGAATTTATGATGAAATAACAAATAAGATGTCGTAAACCTTTGATTTAACAAAATTATTATTTCAGTTAAAATAAATTGGAACTTACAAACTGGTGGCAGGCCTCTTCATAATATTTGAAAGCTAAAACCTTCTTAAACCTCTTCCGTCTGACTCCCATATGGTGATACCTATCTAAGTCAATAACCTAATTCCTTTAATTCCAATGGAATTTGATTTTTTAACAGGTGGCAACATTATATTTCAAAGAATGTATTTTTGCCATTGGTTTCGGTGAAGAGCTTACTCATGGCTATGCTCTTATTAATATTCTTATGGTGGATTTCCACTAGGCATTAAATGGCAAAAATGGCAAATTACAAAGTCGTGTATTTAAAAATAATCGTTTGATTGCATAAAAAAATAGTCATTAAGTTCATTTCCTCAAGGCTTTTATTTTAATTGCATAAATTTTTTGTCATTCCAATGTCTAGTGAAAATTCGGCGTTAGCATAAAGTTTGTCGAATTTATTGCTCCCTGGCCGCAAATAAATTATTTTATAGAGAAATTTCTATTTAAATCTTTTTAGTGGATAAATTACCTTTACATTTTTCGATTTTTGCCCACTTGGGCGGCACTCTGCGCGTTGATCTTTTTTTTACTTTAGCTTCGCTTTTGTAGATAAGTAAACACTCCTAGAAAAATGGTTTTATTTTAAGACATATTTTATATACTTGGGGTACTCGGGGTACTCACAGCGGTGTTGTAAGTGTCGTATTGTTGTATGTCGTATACCATAAAAGGCATATTATGAATTTTCGCAGTGTTAAAAAATAGGTGGTTGTGGTTTCAAGTTCTCTAAACATTTACTTAAGCTCTTAAAGGTTACGGCATACAACAATACGACAGTTGCGACACCATTGTGAATCCCTCAAATATTTTAATATCCATAGCTCACCTTAGAGGTACATTACTCATACGCCCTGGCAAATAATATCACGTAGTTGGCCAACACAAAGCTCTAACTTCTCTAATAAGCTCTAATTCGCCTAATAATAAATAAGTAAATAGTAAAATTGTATTCCCAATTATCCATTAAGAAAATCTACAAAAATTTTAAAATATTTATTTTAAATTTCACTATAACAGAAAAGTTCACTTAACACGCAAACAAACTTATGCTTTTTAGTAAACACCCTATCTTGCTAAACAATACAATTTCTTCATCTTCATCTATTACGTCTCTTATAAAAATTCATTAATTAATTTTTAATTTTTTATAATAATTCTACTTGCAGAGCACAATAGTCGGTGAAATGAGTACGGAATTATGAGAATTAGCCAAATTCAATAGGCGTCAATAGCCGAATGTGGAACAGCAAGTGCCAACATCAGCAATTTTGGAGCAACAGCAGCAGCAACAAACTAAAAGAGAAGATTATTCACAACAACTACAATGGCAACAATATCAACTAGAATTACAACAGATGCATGAGCACCGACCACAGGCACCACCGCCGAGCGCATTTTGCAAACATTGGCTGCAGCAACAACAACAAATACAACGCGCACAGCAAAATTCAAATTCACATCAACTTAAGTAACGAGCTTACATATATAGCAGGAGCAAGTGCAGCAGGAGCAGTGGCTGGCAGCTGCAACAAATGCAACAACGAACACAGCAGCTACACTACACAGTTTTAGCTTAAATATTTATTAAGTGGTACGGCGACAAGCATGTAGCAAAAAGACGAAAACCATGAACATGTAGCAAGCAGCAAGCGACAAGCGGCAAGCGAAGCAGCACCTGCAGCAAGCAAAAAGTGAGAATTTACCAAAAAAAAAAAACAAAAAAAAAACATGCAAAAGTGTAGTTAAATAGTTTCGTGCAGCGCCCACATGGTTGTGGTTGTGATAAGAATGTATGTGTGTATACATATACATATTAATACAGAGCAACTTACATAGATGTACATATACACATACTAAGTACGTATTTACATTTAGACACAAAATATTTACAATGGGTAATTTTATTAAAATGTTGAAAGCAAAAAGACAAGCAAAATTTAAAACTTCAACTAACTATTATGCACTTACAAGTTTACATGCATACATAAGCATAACTTTGCTAAGCTGTAAGCGATATAAGCTATGCACATAAACGTGTATGTTGTATTGAAGTGAGTGGTTCCATAGTGAAGCATACATGCAGGTAACTGTTTGTGTAGCGAAAAGCTACTTAACTTACATATGTATGTATATCAAATAAATTTGGACGCAAACGAAATAAAATGTAGCCTAAACACAACACATATGTATTTTGTACGTTGGTATTATGAGTGTATGTATGTAGGTAGATAGCAACAAAAAGAAAATATTCCGAGTGCATGTTAGCTTTTGTCTTTCAGCAAAATATAACAATATAACAAATCAAATAGTATTTTGTCAAACTCTATATATGTATGGGTGTGTGTGGGAGAACGTATCGCATTCATGGCCTGTGTTGATGCAACAACTAACTGTTCACGGCTTTCATATACATAAGTGTGTTTGTAAATATCTATTTGTATGTGCTAAATTCTATTCTCTTATATGCAAATGTATAAGTAAATAACTTGTTCGACATAGATAACTGCATTTGCTCCGAAATTTCCTAACGCTTGAAACAACAGAGTTAAATCCTTGGCATAACAACAGCCAAAGTTGTGTGGCAAAAAGAAGAAAAAACCTATGCATTTATAACAAAAAAAAAACTGTACTATGTAGCGAATTCAGAAAGCCTCATGCATGTATATCAGGGTGAGTCCATTTTAAGCTATCAAAGATTTCAATAGACTTTAGAGATCAAGTATCATCTTCGAGCAACAATTTCTAATACAATGAACCTTGCGACAGTAAAAGTTATCCCCAAAAAAATTCTCAAATAAAATGTTTGGAGGACTTAGAAGTTTGAAAGGACTGAATATAAAAGAATGGTTATATTTATTTATAGATATCAAATAAAAAACGATTTGCATATCCATCTATTAAAAAAATTGGCTTACTTTACGCCCGGACAAATTTTGTGCAAATGTTCTTTGAAAAATATATCCTTTAATATCCTTATAACTTTCTTCTCCATTATATAGAAAAAGTATATGTAAATTGTGGGTTATGTAGTAATACATACCTCAACTTAGTTCTGCTTGCTGTTTTATAAAAATACTAGCAAATACCCGACGTGCTTTACCGCGCCGTTGCTACTCAATCCCAAAACTCTTATGGCATCATTCACTAAAACTAAAATAAATTTAAACAGCTTTATGAAGTGAGATTCCAAAAAAAATTTCGATTTACGAAGCATTCTTTATTTTTTATAAGCAAGGGTTTTAGTTGATATATTTTCGAAGGTATTTAATCCTGGAAATTTAATTTAATCTCATATAACTCGATTCTACATATCGTGCACTTTATTCAAAGGCGAATTAATTCAGTATTTGCCTTATCTTATCACTTTAACTGAATACAGTTTTTAAATAGGTGGCAACCCGCTATAAAATATTTTTGCCAGCAAACTTTCTTAAACCTCTTTAATTTGATACACGTCTTATAATATTTCATTTATTTTATCAATTTAATAATTGAATAAAACTTTTCAAGCAGCTGGCAACCCTACTCAAAAATATTTTTTGCCAGTAAAATTTCTTTAACCTCTTTAGTTTGATACACTTATTCCATTGTTAAGTAATCAGATCAATTGAGTCAAATTAAAATTTTCAAACAGATGACAGCCTTCCACAAAAATATTTACAGCTTTAAGCCTTCTTAAACCTCTTTAGTTTGACAGCCATATTGCAATATTTACTTTATCTTATCAATTTACTTAAACTGCAATTTCCAAACAGGTGGCAACTCTCTACGATAGCATACATTAGTTTTCGAGAGATGCGCGTACAAACATACAGACAGACAAACAAAAATTCAAAAAATTGTGGAGTTGGCTTCTGTTGCTCCAATATGTATGTAAATATTAATATTAATAATATATGTTTTGTTATCAGTAGGAAATTCCAAGGATATTTAAGGATGCATTTTCCAAAGGACATTATTTTACTGTATTGTCCTGGCGAAAAATAAACAACGTTTTCAATAAAATCTGTGTATACCCTTATTTGTTTGATAAACATATTAATATCATATAGTAGGTATAATTATTTAAAACTATTTTATTTTTTTGTTTTGTCCTTTGAAATTTTAAAGTCCATAAAAAAGTTAAATGGGTGAGAAAATGAAGAACTGAGTATGCAGCACTATTATGTAAATATGTATATAAATTTATAGTTTCACGTGCATATGAATCTTTTTCTGTGGAAAGACACAACCTTCCGCTTTTTAGTGAACATAAGATTATGAGAATCCATTGAAAACGGTCCAATCTATGACTCTTGGTTTGACATAACATCCCGATTTTCAGTTTTTTGATCATAACTTGCGATTTTTTGGGCATAAATAAAATTCTGCTAATGCCAAAATTATTTTTTAGATCTTAGGTAGCCATCTCTACTTCATGACAGGAAAAGTACGTGCAATAATTTTTTTTGTAGCACCGCGTTATTTTATAGCCAAGACCAATAAACGAAATTTACATCAAAAAAGCATATTTTCCATAAATCACACATTAACCTAAAGCTGTTGTAAAGCTCTACCCTAATATCAATACCATCCTTTATTTCAGTTGCTCAAAGTGCGCTCTTAGAGCTCAACATATTCTTCTAATGTAAACTTTGCTAATTACTGCTGATTCCTATTTCGAGTAAACTTTCTGCTTGACTCTACTCTTAGTCCTTTGAACACTTTTTATACTTTTGTATTAATTTAGTTTCTATTAGATCAGTATAAATACCAAATACATAGTACATATTCATGTAATTATTTGCATGTGTTGCTTTTTAAGTTTAATGTCTATAAAAATGCGAGCGAGGCAAAGAGTTTAACTTTCAGCTACAAAATGTTAGTTTATTTTTATTAACAGGCATTTACTTATACCTTGAACTAAATATTCGCAGTGTATTAAGTGAATATCAATGAAGGATTTTTTTTCCTTTGGATAACTTTATTGACGTTTTATTTACATGTGTATTTAATTGAAATTTAATTTAAACTATCTCATTCCCGAAGTACAATTGAGGAAAGCAAGCTGTCAATAGTCCGCTAAAATGCTAAAATAATTTTTAGGTAGTCACACGCCTAACACGGTTTCTTTAATTTGATTTCTCTAACATATTCTACAATTTCTAATCTACTTTCGAAAGACAGGAATAATGTAATGCACCTTCTAATTTAGTTTCCAAAGATAACTCGTTATTCGAAGAGACCTGCCTGAAAGCTTTTATTAAAAAGAGTTTCTTATTTAGGCGATTGCGTTGTTCTGATTGTAACTATCCGTCTATATATATATATATAGATGTACAAATACTTAGATTCCTTATACATTTTACATACTCGTACACTTACATTAATGATATTCGCTGTTACGAGTATCTTTTACAGCTGCTACCAGTGATATTTAACTCCTACACGCATCTGCATCCTCCTCGTTCATATGCTGGCAGCTACAAGCTAAACTTTTTCCCAAGCGTGAGCTTGACCTCCATTAAATGCCAGGAAAATTGATTTTTTGTGTGCAACTTCCGAAACGAGCCAATTAAATATTTGTGTACTACTTTAATTTAAGTACCTCTTCTTTGTCGCCGAGCGCTTATTGAAAAGACATTTTTGCTACTCTCATAAAAAGTAAAGAATCGTAAAGAAGGAGATTACACTGAAGCTTAAATGTTCGTGATAGTGCTTTTTACCCAATATGAAAATGTCATGGTTCTGTACACTTGTGAATCGCAGAGGTTTTTTGTAATTCACTCTGAGATTGGATAGAGCTTCGAACTATTGCTAATTTCTGAATTTCGAAGCTACCCCGGTCACCAGTGAGCATTTCGCTGATCTCATACGCTGGAACAATCATTTTGCTAATGATTGGCTATGCTCAAAATTAATCCGCTATTTCTCCGAAGGAGTTCGTTTCTTTGTCGCACGGCGCTTAACCTTCTCTCACACGAATGTTACAGCTCTCGCCATTACCATCTGGACTAAGAAGGTCAGGCTGAGGTAGAAATTCACGTTGAGTTGCCAGAACAACGAGAATCACCAGTTGCTATCAACGTCAGCACTCACGCAGATTCCTGCTAGGGGCGGAACCTTCACCTAGGCTTTTCAGAAACCATCTCTATGAACTGATGGTAATCCATGAACATTATCAACGACCGCAGGACCCTACGCCGTAAAGACAAGTGATACATAAACATCCTATGAATTCCATAATAGGGGTTCAATGGCCATCAATTGCTAAGGAAGAGCTTCAGCTGCCTCGCTAGGCTTACCTTCCTCTGACATAATTATGGTATAGCCTAAATAGGACTTTTTCTTATATTAAGTATACCTATGAGGAAAGAAGAACATTGATGAAACTCAACAAAAATTAATTGTTTGTCAAACTTAAGTATAAAAATTGTTTTGACTGTGACCTAAAATGTATTTCTAAAAAAAATGTTTAATTCCGTTGACTTGGAATTTTCCATAGACATGCATCAAAGCACATTAAACAGGTAGTATCAGTAGAGCAACTGATTTGATTTATTTCCAAATTATTTGGACTCGAAACTGTCAAGTATTGCTAATTTGTTTCACAAAAATTCTTAATGACAAAATGTATTTGCACGTGAATCTTTAAAACAGCTATTGAGAATCAGCCTTTGGAACGTTTACTTAACTCGGGCGCATAACGCTGATTATTGAGTCTTGCAAAGGATGTTTGTGGAAAGATGCCTGTGTTATGAAATAGTAAATTTTCAGAGAACGAAATTCCCATCCATATAAAAATTTGTTATTTAAATTTTTATATTTTTTTCATATCGCCCACTATGGTATTTAAAAATAGTTGAGTATTATTTTAACACAACAACAAAATACACGCAAATGTTGATTTTGCTCTAATGCTACAAAATATATGTATATGGAAAATTCCAAGTCAACGAAATAAAATAAAAATGTAAGCCCATTTTGGGTCGCAGTCATAAATCGGTGATATGGAATTTTTCATACTTGTATGAATGTATATGTAAGCTTTTTTCGATACAATTTGTTGTTCCCGGGCGGAGCTGATTTTTCCAAATTTCAACAAATACGTATTTTTTTTTTTTGTTTTTATCACTCATAGCAATGCAACACTCAAAGCAAGGCCGCTGAAATCAAAATGTATATCATTTATGAATAGCA